TTTTCTCTTGTTTGGATGGGTTAAGAAAAATAGGGAGGAAATGAGGGGTGGGACCTGCAACATTATCGCCCCAAAATTTCTCTCCATGCAGAGAGAGATTTTGGAGGAAAATCGTGTTCCAGCTGCTTCCCTTAACCCACCCAATCTCTCGCCCTGGCCTTCCAACTTCTTCCTCGTCTTCTGAACATCTCCATGACTCCCCTTATTTCTCTCTCACTTCTCTTAATTCTTCCTCAGCCCCAACATTTCTTCTCAAAATTTGACTGTTGCATGTGTTCCTCGTGGAACATTGTGGGAATCTTCTCGTTGGATCCTGATTTGTACTTTCTTCAAGTTAGTATATTTAATTTTACAAAATATCCTTTTTGATTTTTTAATTATAAAAATAAAAAAGGTTAAGGTACAATTTTACCCCTAAACTTTTCCTTGAGGAGCAATTTTATTTCTGCACAGATAAGAAGGACAATTTCCACCCTTGAACTATTTTTTTGAGGAGCAAAAAACTCCTTATATAGGATGCCTAGCGCTTCTCAAAAAAATAATTTAGGTTTAAAATTACTCTACTTATTAGACAAGAGTAAAATGCTCCTCGAGGAAAAATTCGGAAGTAAAAATGCACCTTAATATTTTCAAGCAAAATCTTTTGGATAAAGGAATTTGGGATTCTCAGGGAAGTGCTAACATCATATGGGAGGATATGGCTAAAAAGATACGGGAGGTTGCAAAAGTAGTTTTGGGAGAATCGAAAGGTTCTGGTCCGAGAGATAAGGAGTCTTGGTGGTGGAATAATAGTGTACAGGACAAAATCAAGTATAAAGAAGAACTGTTTTAAAGCCATACATTTGTGTAACAATGAGGAAAATTGGGAGAGGTACCGTATGGCTAAGAAGGAAACTAAGAGAGCTGTGGGTGAAGCTCGTTCCAAAGCTTTTGAAGAATTTTATAAGAACCTTGAGACGAAGGAAGGAGAGCAAAATATTTATAAGATTGCCAAGAGTAGGGAAAGAAAATCAAGAGATCTAGAACAGGTAAGGTGTATTAAGGATGAAGAGGGAAGAATTTTAGTTACAGATGATGAAATTAAAAATAGATGGGAGACTTATTTTTCTAAACTTTTCAATGATGGAGAGGATTCATCTAGTAACTTGGAGGATTTAGTAACTGGTGAAGGAGAACAAAATTTGTCATTCTATCGAAAAATACGTGATAAGGAGGTAAAGGAAGCTCTTAAGAAAATGGCAAATGGTAGAGCTAACGGACCTGATTGTATATCTATCGAAGCGTGGAAATGTTTAGGTGAAGAAGGGGTGAGATGGTTAACTAAGTTATTTAATGTGATTTTACGGTCCAAGAAAATGCCTGATGAGTGGAGGAGAAGTACATTAATTCCTATTTATAAAAATAAAGGAGATATTCAGAATTGTACTAACTATAGAGGGATTAACTCATGAGCCACACAATGAAATTGTGGGAGAAAGTAATTGAGCACAGGTTGAGATTGGAGACAAGTATTTCTGAGAATCAATTTGGTTTTATGCCAGGTAGATCAACTACAGAGGCGATTTATCTACTAAGGGGATTAATGGAAAAGTATCGTTGTAAAGATAAAGATCTACACATGGTTTTTTATTGATTTGGAAAAGCTTATGACCGTATACCAAGAGAAGTGCTTTGGAAAGCGTTGGAAAAAAAGGGAGTACGGATTGCTTATATTAAAGCCATACAAGATATGTATGAGGGGGTAAAAACTAGTATAAAACGCCTAGTGGTCAAACAAAGGATTTCCTATAAAGATTGGACTACATCAGGGATCATCTCTGAGTCCTTATTTGTTCAACTTGATTTTAAATGTTTTGACGGAACATATTCAAGAGGAAATCCCGAAATGTATGCTCTTTGCGGATGATATAGTTCTTATAGCAGAGACAAGAGAAGAGGTTAATTGCAAACTTGAGTTATGGAGGAGGACATTGGAGTCGAAAGGTTTTCGTCTGAGTAGAAGTAAGACGGAATATTTATATTGTAAATTTGGTAAAGGACTATTCGAAAATAATTTCGAAGTGAAATTGGGAGATCAAATTATACCTCAAGTGGAAAAGTTTAGATATTTGGGAGCCATTATTCAAAATGATGGCGAAATCAGTGGAGATATTTCACATAGAATTCAAGCTGGGTGGTTTAATTGGAGAGAAAGCTAAAGGAGTTATTTGTGACCGTAGGGTGCCTAATAAACTTAAAGGAAAGTTTTATCGTACTGCTATCAGACCGGCAATGTTATATAGTAGTGAATGCTGGGCTCTAACGGGACAGCAAGAGCATAAAGTTGGAGTAGCAGAGATGAGAATGTTACGATGGATGTGCGGACATACACGTAAAGATAAAATTCGAAATGAGCACATACGTGAAAAAGTGAGGGTGGCACCTATTGAGGAAAAAATGGTAGAAAATCGGTTGAGATGGTTTGGGCATGTACAAAGAAGACCAAGGAGGCACCAGTGAGAAGAGTGGAACATATAACTTTGAGTCCGATTGAGAGAGGTAGAGGAAGGCCTAAGAGAACACTCTTGGAAGTTGTTGAACGTGATCTCTTAATTAATAATATTTCTAAAAGCTTAATAAATGATAGAGCACAATGGCGTCTTGCAATCCATGTAGCCGACCCCACCTAGTGGGATAAGGCTTGTTGTTGTTGTTGTTGTATTAGTACAAGAGTAAAATTGCTCCTCGAGGAAAAATTCGGAAGTAAAATGCACCTTAACCCAATAAAAAATAGATATAATTTCACTAAATTACTTGATTTTGTAATATAAAAACATGAAAATATTTTTTACTAAATAATTTGACTTAAAATATTTTGATGATATTAATGTTAATATTATTTCTGCCTTCAATTTATTTTAATTAAGATAATTACACGAGACATAATATATTTTGACACAAGGATATTATGATAATTGTGATATTTGGTCATTTTCTGTTGTGTTTTTTCTCGTTTATCCACACATAAGGAGTGATAATATCATCTCACCAAATTTTCTCCCCTCCCAACTTTTCTCTCCAGCCAAATGATTGGTAGTGTTACTTGACATCGGGGGGCAATTGTTTGTGAATTTAAAATTCATGGTCAGACATTTTCTCTAGTTGAATGTACAGGCTGCCTGATCATTCCAAAATAAAATGTTATTTATAAGTATAGGGATTGTGAAAGGCATCTGAAATCCAGAAAATTGAAAATTATAAATTGAAATGGTGGGATTGGCTTGGCATAGTACCGTAGTAGGTGTTTATGTTTTTGGGCATGTTAGTTTTTAATCTTCTGAGTATTGGTAAGTCATACTATTCTTGCTTTTATCTGCTACATCAGCTTTTAGCAAGAATTTATTAATTTCTGGTTCAGGAAGAAAGGAACAAGATCCGCAAGATTGACCGATATGATGACAGGAGGTAAATTTTATTCCAACAAAGGTGGAAGTTTATAGATAGGCGCACGCGCGCATATATATATAAGCTTCCAAAATCTTTTGAAATTTTTGCGTTCATTTACTAAGATATGAAGAACATGGTAGGGACTGTGACAGGGAGTCAAGCAGGGATAGAGAACGAGGAGATAGTCGTGAAAGGGGGAGAGACTATGACCGCAGGAGCAGAGATCGTGATAGATATTATGACCGTGATCGTGGACATGATAGAGACCGAGATAGAGATTCTAGTCGATCCCGGTCTCACGAGTCAAGAAGCCGACGGAGGTCACGCTCACGATCAAGAGACTATGATCGCCACAGGTACACGGGATTCTCCACTTATTTTGGCCTTCTCAATGCATTATTTGATTCGTAGTCTTACTTACAAGGAGGGACGAATCTAGAAACCAACACATTGCGGGGTGGGTGGTTAACATTAATTTTCACATTTTTTTTACAAGTAAAATGAAAAAAATTCCCAAAATTTTTCAAAGGACCAATCAAATCCCACACCCCCCCCCAAAAAAAAAAAAGAAAAAAAAAAAAGTCGCTGCTTACAATCAATGCTGGCATGCGATCTTGCATTAACAGACAAAACGAGCGGATGTTTATTATCGTCATGGGCTCTCCCCCATCCCACCTGGAACGAGTGAAATTTTTGTCGTTGAGATTCCGTTATAATGTTTTGCATGTAAACTAACAGTTATCATTTGTCGCCAGGCGTTATGATCGGTACTAGCAAGACTTGGCCTTGATATTGGCGGACTATGAAATCCCTTCGTTGTCGGGGTCTTTTTCCTATTATGCATGTAACTTAGGCTTCGGAGTAGCCAATTAAGCTTGATGGTGACGGATAACTTTTAAACTTGAAATGTCTCCTTCTTGTTGACTGACTACATGGAGCAGCTGTTCTTGCTGAGGGGGATTTGGCGCAAAAAATTGTTGAATGCTTAGTTGGTGTATTATCGTTGACGTGTTGTTACCTGCTTTTGAAGCAGCTGTTGCAGTGGTGGGATCTGGCTCTAAATTTGTTGAATGCCTTTATTTGGTTTGTCATCAAATTTGCTTTAATACGAAGTTAAGAGGTGTTTTCTACCCGAAAAAAGAGTTAAGAGGTCGGATGAAATGAACTTGTGCCAAGACTCTGGCTTCTTTATTATCAATCATATATTCTTTTGGATTTTTTTTTTTTGGAACGAGTTATATTATTTTGGATTAATGTAACATCATGACGACAGCCTTGCAATTTTGCTTGTGAGAGCTTATTAAACGCTTATAACATGCCATATCGTACATTTTTTCTTGAAAAATTCAGCAGAGACAGTAGAAATATATGTATTTTAACAAAAACATAAAAGGAAAAATCAATGCGGTAGTCTTTATAATTTATCAAATTTCAAATCAAATCCTTCAGGGGAGAGGGGTTTTTATATTTTTCCCTCCATTTTCCTTTATTTTTTCAATCCCTATCTGTCAAATTATTTTATTAAATAATTTTTTTAAATGATAAAATTAAAAAATGGTGGGAATGAAGGGAAAAAATGGAAAGACTTCAAATCCTTCAGTTTTCATTCTTTTTATTCCCATCCTTTTGTTTCCTCGGTTCGAGCCGTTACTCCTTAATGTCAAATAGGGACTGACAGATTGTAGTCGCTTTGCTTGAGGTGGCTAACGTGGCTCCACAATCTTCAAGACATGCATCCAAGTGCTTGTGCGTGTGCTTGTCGCATGGATGCATGGCAGCCGGCCAAGAGTCCGTGACACAGAAAATCTCTATTACAGTTTAGGTGAAAATAAATTGAGTTAAATTTTAGTCAAATAAACTTGAGCCTATGTAATAAATTATAAATTTGCACCTGAAACTTGTATAACATTTATTTTAAGTCTGAACTTACATAAAACCTTGATTAGCTTAAAAAGCTTATTTAAAAGTAAATAAGCATACATTTTAATTTCAAACATTTCAAATATACTTTAACACTATTAATATAAATATTTAGCTTGATTTATCAATTACATAATAATTAAAAAGACTTATCAACAATAATACGATAATAAAATAGTAATGTTAAAATCAACATATACTCAAATTTGATTGAAAACATAATTTAGAGTAATTAAAAATTAAATGGTGAAACTGATATGTATGCAATATATTACATAATGTGTGTATAATGTGTGTGTGTAAATAAGTTGGCCTGTTGAGCTCGTAAACTAGGTCTTAAAAAAACTAAACTTGACTTATTTAATTAAATAATAATTAAAAGCTTAAAACTGACCTGAGCCTATTTAATAAATAAATTAGGCAGGGCTGAGTCTAAAGTAAGCTAGAATGGAAGCCCTATGGGTGCAACTTATTTCAACTAATTAAATATTAGATTATTCTGCAATCACAACTGCTAAAAATCCATAAAATACGTAATTACCATAAGTCAAGCGCAGCAGACCACTTGACTAGCTAAACTCCGTGCAATTTGCCTATTTGCTTCTGAGAGCCTATTATATGTTTATAGTGTGCCATATTATATATTTTCTTGGAAAAAATTCAGCAGATAGACAGAGAAAATAGAATATAAGTATTTTCATAAATATAAATTATATTTTACTAGTCACACCAGAAATAATGGCATACAATTTACACTTTATTCCCAGACTAAACAATAACTCGGATGATTTTGTGGTGAACAAGCAGCATAGCATAAACGATATTGAATGTAACCAAGACGTTAACATTTCAAAACATTGTAACTGTAACGAAGGAAAGAAGGAAGACGGAATGAAAGCGGGAACGCTCATTTCAAGAGGGGCATACCAGAGAGATGAAAATCAGAGTTGTCTGGAAGCAGCATCGGCAACAAAGGGAAGGTGCGGGGTGCGGCCCAACACGCAGGATGCGACGCTGTAAAGGAAGCATAGAAGAGTGAAGAGGAAGAGGAAACTATGGGCCCAAACCATGAGGCGGAAGCCGAGTCCGGAGCGACCTGGAGTGAAAATCCTTTGAAGCAAGAGGGGCAGCACCAAGAGGACGTCGAGAGTCACGGCTTGCATGGAGTTGAACCTGACATAGCGGCTGAAGGAAGGGTTTCTGACAACGCCCAAGTAGAGAGCGAAGAAGGCCACGAAGCTGGAGTAAGGGATGGACCTGTAGAGGGTAACAAGAGGAAGGATGGGATCGAAGAGAAGACCCAAACTTGGGAATTGCAGGAAGAGGTAGCGGCCATAGTGTAGGGAATTGAAGAATGGAAGGGTGTAAGAGGCCACCGAGATTAAGCGCTCGGTGGCCGGAGTTGGAGTGGGGTCGGAATTGTAGGACATGCGAGGGATAACGAGGGCGGTTCTGGATTTGAGAGTCATCTGGAGGAAAGGACGAGGCACCAAAGGTTTAGGTCTTGGCGCAGGAAGAAGACAGGTGCGAAGAATACCAGTCCCAGCGGAGGCCATCATCTTGTCCTTCACTTCACCCTGTGCGCTTGCACCGTCGCGGCCAATTTTTGAAATCGAGTCCCAAACAAAACGAAGCCGATCTCTGCCCTTCCTTCTCTAGGGCTTCCGACTTAGCTCTTAGCTCTTCTATACACTGGGCCGTTCCGTTTGGGCTCCCAAATTGCTGGATTTGACCCGTCAAGATTATTCCCATGAACTGGTATAGGTTTTTGTTTTTTGATTAGTTTTGGTCCTTGAATTTTTTAATTTGATTATAACTCAATTTTACAAAATTTAACTCATAATAACTCGGTCTCTCTTGCCTCAGGTTGCGAAATTACTTTCCTAAGCTTCAAGACTCACTTTAATCAAGTATGTTTTTTTATTAGCATCCAATATCTATTTGCTCTCTTGTCTCAAGTTGTTAGAAGTTTTGTTGCACAATTGATGCAAAACTTAAAGATTTCTTTTGGGGCTTTAGTCTTGAAAGGGGAAAAAAAACATCTTGCAAAAAAGGATTTGCTTTTTACCTCTTTAGATCAAGGAAGCCATGGCATTAGATCAACTTCTGATATGAAATTGGTTTTACTTGCTAAGCAAATATAGCGCATCATATCTGCTGATGTGGGATCTCTGTTGGGCAACACATTGAAGATCAAATACTTTAACTCATCTAGCAATTGCAACCTCAAAAAGCCATACAATTCTTCTTGGTTCTGGAAGGGAATTTTAGAATCCACAGACATTATTCTCAACCAACCAACTGTCTTAGTAAGTAGGTTTTGGTACCAACATTCCTCTTGATCATAAAATTTTAGTGGAAGCCTATTAATGGGGTTTTAGCTCAACACCCCCAAATTCAATGAGTGTCAAATCTTATGACTCATTCCTCATTTATTTAGCCTTCTAGTTGTTGGAACAGAAGACTTCTCTCCCAGAATTTATAGTACCAATGATGCTTAGGCTATGCAAAGAATTCCATTGCCTTCATTCTTCAGTTCTGAAATTAATTTGGCAAGGCAATTCAAATGGTTCTTACTTTGTTAAAAGTGGCTTTCTTCATGTCTCAAGGCCACAATCAACCAGTGCTTACAATTTTTTTTGGAAGGTTCTTTGGAAGATCTGTTTGCCTTAAAAGCAACTCTTATTTGTTTGGAAATTCATTCACGTTGCTCTTCCTCTAGGAGATGTTCTTCAACATTATCACTTGAATGTTCAATCTCATTGTGATTTTGGTTGCATGGACTCTGAATCTCATTATGTAAAGTCTATTTGGTTTAGATATTTATCTATACAATCTTCTTCTTTTTTTTTTTTTGAGAAAGTAGGTTTGCTTAGGTGGATTATTTCCACCTTCTTGCAGCTACATAATGATGGCTTAATCCAACAACTATGGGTAATTATATTGCTTAATCTGATTTGGAGGAAAGAAATCTAGCTTCTCACAAGGGAATCGTATTAGCGAAAGTAGTAAAAGAATTTCATCGGACTTGTTTTTATTTAATGAATGTTTGTCAGTGGTCACAGCTGACTAAATTGCAACTTTCACTTTACCTCTATACTTCCTCTTCTTACTCTCTAAATTATGATGCTGAAAATACCTAATCCTTTAGTTTGGAATGTTAGAATGAGGAAATATAATATTAGAGGAATTACCTTTTGCTTAGTCTTGTTCTATTACAATTCAAAGTTTTTATATAGCATCAAGTGGAAATGCTCAAGTACTATTAAATCGAACTGTTTCAACTTAATTTATATTCAAGTTGCTTTATCATGGATAAAGGCTCATCTCCATAACTCCCCACTCTTTAGAGTTGCATCTTCTTCCAATGCTTTCACAAGATGCTTTTTCATGGATTACTCTCAAGCCATTACTTGCCCCAACCTTTAGTTTGAGACATTCTCTATTTAACTCTGGTAATTTTAATATTTCTCATAATCAACTTCTTTTCTTGCGTCCTCCTTCTTCAGACTTTTTCATTACTCATGTATTGTAAACTTTTAATTTTTTTTAATGATATTATCAATCTTTTTTATAAAAAAAAAATCCGTCTCGCTAGTCAGTTTAAAATATTCATCCTTGCCATAAATGAATCAGACTATACTTGCTTATGTGTAATAAACATTGCTTACATGGTATTCTCAGCAACCCATCATATTCATGTGCCAACATATTCAAAAAAAATTTGAAAAAAAAAATCTAAAATAAAAAGAAGAGGAAAGACAAGTTTGGACTTTGGATTCTAGAATATTTTTGAACAAGCAAAGGAGAAAAGGCAGACCATTTATTTTTTTCTTGATGTATCATGGATGAAAAAAGGCGACGGAAGCATAAGGAGCAAAAGGGGAAAGAGAAGAAAGAGGGGAGGAGCTGTTTGAGGAGTGCGAAGGGGAGATGAGCATAAGGAGGTTATGGGAGGAGGAGGAGAATTTGAGGATAGAGATGCTGATGTGGGATGATGTGTTGAGGAGCTTTGAAATGCCACAATACTTGTCTGTGATGTATGAAGAGCCGTCACCATTGTATTATGGGAAATGACGACGAGGGTAATGGCAAAGGAGATTTGAGGAGGCGTGGCGAAAACAGATTGGGAGTAAGCGTATTGGATGTGCCAGGTAGACGATTACATTGCTATTTAGGCTAAAACATGAAACATCATTCAGATAGGTCACAGGACTAGTTGGGCTGAGTAAATGAAGTGTTACACCACAATATAAACAAAAGGCATCAGCTCTGAAACTCGACAAAGGCCATAATAAATAAACATGCTAAAATCCTATCAGCTACAAACATTAAACCGTTGGCATGAAAGGACATGATCTCAAGTAATGCCAAAACCTACGGACTTCATGCCTAAGTATCTCGATGAAACAAGCTGATTACTAAAATAGAGAGCATAGAATAAAGAACGTGCCATGAGTTACGCGAGATCCTTGATTCTTCGGAAAAACGTGCTAGGTCTTAAAGAAGAGGCTACCATCACTCTAACACTATAAATAAAGACGAAGACATAGAAAAAACTAGTCAACACTCAACCAAAGACTCGCATTTTTTTTTTGACACTTTTTAGCCTTTTAGTTTATCAATTAATCTTTCAGTTTAGACTTGTAATTTTTTCTCATTTCAATAAAATCAAACACTTGTTCTACCAAAGTCTGTATCTTTTTACATCCGAGTGAATTATGGTAAGGGAGCTCGGGACTCTTTTTGTCATCAATTGAGACTCAGCATTTTTGGCACACCTGGTATTTGTTGTTCAGCACGAACATTTTTTGGCACACTCGGTGGGACCTATGTAACAAAGATGGCAAGGACGCGAAAAGACAAAAGGGCTTATGAAACAAGTGCTGGTTTTCATAAACTAGAGGAGACCTCTGCACATGCAGGGTTAGAACACTTAACACCTGATGCTGAAGCAACTAAACATCATGAGCACATAGTACCAATGTTAACAGGTAGCAGTAGCACAAGCCCTGGCTTAAAGCTAGGAAGTGGACAAACTAACCCACTGATTATATCTAACGGTCTAGTGGCAAAAATGCTACAGGGGATTCAAGACAAATGGATAAGTAATTAGAAGAGAATCAAAGGTTTTTTACACTATCACTGGAAATGTCAAAACACAGGGAGAAGGAACGACAGCAGATCATGGTGTAGGCTCTACATGATGACATGAAGAATATAGCCGCATTATTGAGAAGAACTCCTCTGGAAGCAGGTTCAAGTTTAGGGTCGCTTAGAGGGTAGCAAGCAGGAATCAATATAGGCACTGGCCCTCGGGCTGCCTACTTGTAAGGAACATTCCTAACTCTTAAATATTTGCTCACACTAATCCTTTAAGTAATCCTTTGTATTTTTACAAGAGCCTAACACGAGTGGCCCAGGAGGCATGGCAATGATCCCAGAGCACCATAATGAGCCTTAAAACCAACTGGTGAACATGGAGGCCTTAAGGGATGCTATCCAAGATATTTACGGATCAAGGTTGAGGCTAATTTGTCGCCCCACCTTCTCAAAGCCATATCCGGAGTACATAAACAAGGACAACCCATACCCTCGAGGATACAAGATCCCTGACTTCACGTTGTTCTTAGGGGACAAAATGCAATCGATACTGGAGCACATTAGGAGGTTCACAATCTAATGTGATGAGATTGCCAACTATGAGAATTTCGCCAACTTAAAGTTAAGATTGTTCTTGAACACTCTCACAGGCCTAGTGTTCACATGGTATACTTTGCTGCCCCACAACTCAATCATTAGCTAAATAGAAATGGAATAGAAGTTCCATATCTAGTTTTATAAGGCAGAGCTGAAGGTCAGCATAGCAAAACTCTACAAGCTCATCTAACAGGTTGGAGAGACGGTGGACCAATACTTGGTAAGGTTCAAATGACTGAGGAGTAGGTGTCATGTGTCGCTTTCAGAAACTAAAATTTGTCAAGTTAGCACAAGCAAGACTGGTTATAGAGCTTTGAAAGAAATTTCAAGGGATGGAATTTTGAGATTTCTATGAATTCATGGCCAAAGTATGGGGATACGAGGAACTGCTCAAGGAAGAGGACCGTCACCGACGGATTATGGCAGGAAGCTATTTTGAGGATTTTGACATGGCAGTGGCAGAATTAAAAAATGCCAGCAACTACATGTGCCTAGCTTTGATAAGGAAGGTCGGAGAGATTCCCAAAGGCCAAATGCAATCTAATACACCTTTGATACCACCAAAATAGAGGAAATCTTTTGATTTCCTCCTTAAGGAAAAGTTTATCTCCTTGCCCACTGATCCAAAATCCCTTCAAAGGAAGAATAGAGAGGGAAGGAATACTATAAATACCATTACTCATGGAGTCACAACACTTTAGGGTTTCAAGAATGTCATCTAGGACCAAATTAATAAGGGGGTTTTAAAGTTCCCTAAAAAAGAATCCATGGTTGTAGACGAGGACCCATTCCTACCATTTGCCACAGTCAATATGGTGAAAATAAACTCTGAAAAATGACGACCAAGAGAAATGATAGTAAGCAAAGAGATAGGAGGCCCTGGAATGTCTAGAACAGGGAAGAAAGAGTCAAGAAAACTCAAGGACAGTGTGAGACTGCT